CAGTTTTAAATGAGTGATGAAGATAGACAAGGCATGTTGTGGTAGGATGAGTTTTCATTCATTCAGTTTTCCCCTGCTCATTCCTTTTTGTTGAGAGGACCCTTGCACACCATTTTGCCATTGCAGGTTCAATACCTAGGTTGTCGAAATAATGCCACCAGAAATGAATGGCACTTGAGGTATGGCAAAGACACTAATGGTCCAAATCCCTCATCTGCAAACAATAACCCCAAGTTCTCCTCTTCTGACAAACAGCACTTTTAGCAGCTGGTCCACCTCAAGAAAGGAAGTATTTGTTATTGTCTGTATCACTGTGGGAGGAAAATATGTACCTTGAAAACAGTAATAAACTCCAAAATCCTCTGGCTCCACCCTGCTGATTTCCAGTGTGAAAGATGTCTTTGACCCACTGCCACTGAACCTGTCTGGGATGCCAGATACACGTTTGGAAACCTTATAGATCAAGAGCTGTGGATTCTGGCCTGGCCTCTGCAGGTGCCACTCCAAATAGGTATTTCCATCACTATATAGGAGGCTTTGACTAGACCTGCAAGAGATGGAGGCTGGCTCTCCAGTGGTGACAGACAAGGAAAGTGGAGTCTGGGTCATCACAACATCACCAATGGAAGCTGAAATAATAAAAGAGAAATGCAAAATCTTAAGATTATCAACAATCTTTAAGATACAATTCATGTGATTTAAAGTGACATCTTTATGTTTTGTGTTCAAATTTGGTTTATATTTCCAACTCAGTTTCATCCCCCCAAACTAATGATAATAAAATACGTAGTTGAAGACACTACATGAACTCTAGATATAGCCTATATCATGCTATTCCATTGGAGTGAGAACTTTCTAGGGCAAAGATCCTGTCCCATCTGGAAACTCACGGTCACAGATCTAAACCTCACATGCCCATCCAGGATGACTGGGCATGCCATCTCAGTAGAAAACTTGTAGGCAGCCATGGGCCCCAGAGCTCACCCTCACTCCTCATCCTTTCCCCATTTTCCCTCTGTTCTTACCAGGAATCCACACCATTAGCAGACCCAGGAACTGAATAGGAGAGCTCATTTTGTGACAATGAACTGAGGAAATTGATCACTGAAGGCAAGATTACAGCTGGGGTTTTATCTGAGACCAGCAAAGCAAGGCCCCCCCTAGAGAGCAATATGCAAATGCCCTGGTAGGCACAGCAGTGTAGCTAGAAGGAGAACTTATGCAGACTCCCATAAAGTATTTGCTATGTCACTGCTGAAAGTAGAAAAACACAATGTATTGCACATGTGAACTTACCTCAGTTGTCACAGCATACACAAGACCTGAGCAAAATCAAGCCAGACAATATCCCAGCATGGAGAAGGGAGAGGGCCTGGTGTGCAACTTCTGCTGAGGACCTATTGAAAATTGAAAGCTTCTGGAAAAAAGAGCTTTCTTTAAGATTGCATTCCTGGTAGGTCCACCATACCACCATACTGCCGTGAATGTCAAACCATCCAAGGGTATATAGGCAGCACAATTTGAACTTGATTATAGATTTCTCAGTCCAAGTGGGACACCTATATCACACCTTCTCCCCTCAAAGCTCAGGGATCGTGGATGGGGGAGCTAGGCAAGAAGTCCCAACCCCAGCTGAGGAATGATTGGCAAATGATAATTGCTGGGAAAGGGAGAGTCAGTCTTCTCTAAGGATGAGACTCAGAGTAGGTTATCCAGGCTCCAGGAGATGTACCCACACCCAAGCACACTTGGGGAATACAAATTAGACTCTACAGGCCTTAAAACTCAATAGAAGACATGAAGTTAGGAAGGTTAGGGAGGTCTATAAAACCATGGACCTTCATTGACCAGACATAGCTTCTTGTTTTGGGTTCTTCTTTCATAACACCTTTTCTCACAATGAATAGCTGTAGTTACTAACCCAACATTTTGATTTTTAATAAAATACAAATGGACAATATATACAATCCATAAAATGACTATCATCAACAAATAAGCTGTCCACTTGTTTGAAAAATGCCTGTGCATGAATTTGCAACTGAGACTTGAAGTGCTGAGCCAGCATTTTCATCTGTGGGACTGGACCAGACTTGATGGTAGGGGTTGGAGCATTGCCTCAAATGCACTTGCAAACATCATAATAGCATGGTACCATCCTGTCTCTCTGTCCATCCAGACTGAACTGTCATTCTGGATTGCACAGCAGGAGCAAGATTTTCCGTGAAATCAGAAGGATTACCAGATCAGTGATTCTACAGATAAAATGGAGTGCAGAAATACAGGGGAGCCTCCCAGGTTTCTTCAACTCAAACATTTCAATAGACCACAAGGTTGGCTGCATATGAGAAAGGATGTGAAGCAGAGTCACTTCCAAGAGCTGCTGGGATGCCCAGCCTCAGGCTTCCACTTCCCTGGTGGTTTATGATATGAACTGTGTCAAGGTAGCTATTAGCTTGTTGGCAGCAATACATTGTAACTTCTTCAGGCTCCACACTGCTGATGATTAGGGTGAAATCTCTCCAGTGTGAATTATTGCTAACATCCTGGCTTGCTTGGCAGTTGATAATAACTCTATCTCTTGGATTCACAGGCAGGAGAGCTGGAGACTGGGGTCAGCACAATGTCATCTCTGGAAGCTGAAATCACACATAAAACAGTAGTAGAAAAGAGAAAATGTTTTTGTTTTCTAAATTTCAGATAAAAAACAACAGGAAAAGTTTCATATGTTTTCAAATGAAGAAAGTAAAGGAGTTATTTTTTTTTTAAATCCCTGCTTTTTGCTTTTTTCAGAAGTTCTTACTTGAAATCAGAACACAAGTCCCAAAAGCATCCTGTTTTCTTCTTGTTTGTTTTGATAATCTCATAGATTCTCTGTTTAACATTCTTGAAGAAAGTCATAATTTTTGATGACATGTAGAAATTCCCATTCACTGAGGTCAGTATCAGGATCTTCATGGTTGTAAAAATCAAAGCAAGGCTCCTGGATGCTTCTCTGCTCTTCATATTCCTTGATAAGTAGGGAAAAAGAAACACATTTAAGTCTCTGTTAATAGGAAATCAAAGCATTACAAAATACCCTTCCATATATAAACAATCCTGGTCCCTGACTCCATGGTCCTATTCCTTAACTTTTTGATGTTGACTCCGTATTAATGGTGTTCATGAATGCAGTACTGGGCAGGTGTTTACCACCTAGTTTACATCACACATGAGGAATATGAGGAAAGGTATTAAAATCCCAACCCACAGACAAATCACAAAATTTAATTTGTATCTATCAACTAGTTTGTGAAAAAATATAGACTAATCATGGAATATAGATGTAGCTCAGGAACACAGCACTTGTCTAGTATATACAAGGCCCTAGGGTGGGGTAGGAAGGGCTGGAGGAAGAAAGTATTATAGAAATGAAGAAAGATTAATATGGTGAGTAGCAAATGGAATGTCTTTGAAACTGAATATCAGACAAAGCTGAAGAGATAAATTAATATTTCTTTTTACTGGGCTCATCAATCAGGCTTATCTCAGTTTCGTTTCTGGAAGCATACAAAAATAAAATTATAAAAATGAAAAAAATAGTTCATTGAGAAATTTATACAACATGTTTTGGTCATATTTTCCCACAATTCCCAGCTCTTCCTAGGTCCAACCCCTACTTCCATACATACCCAACCTTGTGTCCTCTTTTATTTTTTATTTACTTTAATGATATTTTTATTGATTCTTTGAGAATTTCATACAGTATATTTCAGTCATATTCTGACTTTCCCCATCTCTTCTCAGATCCAAGCACAACAGAGAACTGACAGAGAAAATATTTAGCTGGAATAAGGAAAGGAATCTGAGAACTATTCAGGTCTGCGACTAACATAAGGCTTCAGGCTTAAGATAATTGCAAGGAAGAGTCTACCAGCTCTTCAAAAGAGGCCCTTTATCACCAATTGTTATATAGAAGAGTGCAGCTGACTGCTAAAAAGTTTTCTGTGCAATGCACACAGAAAATCACAACTGGCCACTAAGTATAGAGAATCACAGTCTCAGAGTGTGGTTCCCTGGATAGGACTCTTATATTAAACCTCACCCACCCATGGCTTAGGAACCATTGCCAAAGAAGGAGCAGAAAGACTGTAAGAGACAGCGT